TTTTTACATTTTGTGAAGTTGTTCATTGAAAAGATAAAAGAGGGAAGGAATATAAGAATGGAGTACAAGAAGAAGAAAGAGAAGAAATGCCTTTTTTGGCAAAATAATTGTCACGTGAACAATCAGAAAAACATGACAAAACGTACGGCCTTCTTCTCTGTTGTTTTTTCTTTTTTCCCTCTCCAAAAAAAACAAAAAAATCACATCAAATAATAGCTTGAATACTATTTTGACCCCAATCTATTGCGAAAAGACAATTGTCCCCCTTTATTTTGGAAACACCCACTGTTACCAGTTTTGACTTTGACCACAAAAATTCCAGTTATACCCTTATTTTTGTTATTAAAATTTTATTAATTTCTCATAATTTTATGATTTTGGCTGAAATTTTAGGATTACTTTTTATATTTAATGATTTTCTTAATTTCTTATTAATAATTATATTCCATAAAACTTTTTATTGATTAATTTAAGATATTTACTCTTCTAATAATAAAAATAAGGATATGACTGAAATTTTCGTTGTCAAAACTGGTCAAATGGAAAATAAGAAAGTACAAATACCAACTTTCGGGGTATTTCCAAAACCAAGGGGATAAATGTAGTTTTACAATAGATTGGGGTTAAGAAAAATTCAGCCTCAAATTACAATACGTACTAACTAATCCTCTCACGGTCTAGCTAAAGGCCAAAGGTCTTAGAGCTGAACACTGAGCCCCCCCACGCCCCCTCCCAGAGCTGACCGCCTGAGCCTGCCCTGCACCAGTTACATTGAACCCCACCAGCCCAATTCCCCAAAAATAAATGCCCATCTTTTATATTTTTGTAATTTTATTATACTCAACAGTAACCCACATTAATGCCTTGTTTGCAGCTTTTTTATTGAACGTGAAATTTTTCAGGCTATATAATTTTTCTCAATTAATGTCTTGTTAATTTTCTTTTGGGGATATTATTTCGAATGTATTGTAGTTGTAGCTGTTAGAATAAATACCCACCGGCTGAAATATTTCACGTGCAGATCAAGAATGAGAATTTAGACGCTCACCTTTGGTCTGGACGTGAAAATATTTTCTAGTGGACCAAAATGTTATCTTCAATAAATAAGGGGGACTGAAATTTACTGGGGTTAAAGTGTAACCTTTAAAAACTAGGATGGCCAGAATGAGAAAAGTGATGGGCATAATCTAAAATTGTAAAGTGATGGACATAAGAATACGATTCACACCCACATTATTTTGTATTGTTATAGTGGTACAGTTGGGGGCATCTGATCACATCATCAAATCTTAATTCACTCCATTCCCTGTAAAGTGTAAATATCTTTTTTATTTTTATCATACCATATCATTTGCCAATCTTTTCTTGCAGTACAATTATTTTGACACATACGATATCCCATATTTTAGTACCATATAACAATGTTTTTCAAATGTGGAACATAAAGTCATTGTCCGTATCTATTTTGTTGAGTTTTATCATTTTATTTATAGTTTTAGTTTTTGAAAATGGAGATAAATGAAATGAGATAGCACTCATGTTATAAATTAATCTTATTAAAAATAGAAAAAAAAAATTATTTTTTATTTATGAATTTAGAAAAAAAAATAATAAGAAGAGAAAAGAAGGTCAAAAAGGGTTTGAGAAATTATATAGTTTTAAAATTATTTATAAAGATTAAGATATATATATATATATATATATATATAATCGTTCTACATAACATGTGATAAATTATAAATTTATATTATTTTTTCCAAATTCTTAACTAGAGCCTACACCACCGGAGCCACCCTTAATGTTTTGGTAATATAAATAAAGATATTTAATATCATTTATAATGTGATATAAATTAGCACCTAAATCTTGTAACTATTTATTTAATATGATCTTAAAATAAAGGATAATTTGTGGGGCCGTTTATGCATAGTTCCCAAAGGACCAATAGTCATAGTGGTCCTTAATTAAATAAATATTAGAGCCGTTACATTGTAAATTTATGAATATTTTTTTATATTAACAATGTTTAACTTCTAGTGAACTATAATATTATGTGGTGAAATTTTTTATTTATTTAATATTTAATAGAAATGTATATATATATGCCTTTGATAAGATACTTAATTTTTAATAATAATAAATACATTTTATATTAAATGGAGACATATACATAAAGATTTTATGTCTCGAATCACTTTCATTATTCTTTGTAAAAGTATAATAAAGTTTTATGAGTTGATAAAAAAAAGGTCTTTTAAAAAGAGTTTTGAAGAATAAAATAAAAAGTGAGGAAATAATAAAGAAGAAGGTAAAAAGGTGTTTGAGAAGTTAAAGTTAGAGCATTAGAATAATTTATAAAATTAAAATCATTTTAATTAAATTATGGATTTACAGATAATTATACATTTTAATATATTTATTCAAAATTCTTAACTGGAGCTCGTGAGAGAGAGAGCCATCCCTAACTCCACCCCTAAAGGGATTTTGATAATTTAATATCATTGAATATGATATAAATTAGTACCTAAATCTTGTGACTAATTATTTAATATGATCTTAAAATAAATGATAATTATGGTACCCTTTATACATAGGGTGGTTCCCAAAGGACCAATAGTGTTAGTGGTCGTTACATTATCAAGGTATGAAAAGAATTATTTGATACTAAATGTTTAACTTGTAGTGAAATATAATATTACAAGTAGATGTTTTATATTATAATGTGATGTTTGTTATTCTTGTTAATCTAATCTCTAGTACAAGAAATGTAATGTCACATCTTTTAATTGTAGAGAAAATATTTTTCATGCTAAGTGATGTTGTGATGGTAAAGACCATATGCATATCAAAGACAAATCTCTAGAATTTCATGAAACCATGTCTCAATCGACTAATCACTCTCGTAATTCTCTGCAAGCAATAAAAAATGGTTAATTGTATAATAATGTTTTTACAAGCTGATAATAACAAGGTTTCATATCAAATTTTAATCAATTTATACATATTTAATGTCGTTTAGTGGAACCAAATAGTTTACTTTGATTTTTTCAAATTTATACGTTATGGGTGGTCATCTTATTTGTTTGTTATCTAACTGTTTATTTTATTACAATCTAATGAATATGTTAAGAAAGTCGGAGATAGTTTTTTTTTTTCATCACCTATTCAACTCCTAAAGTAGGTGTGAATTAACTTAAATGAACTTTATATTACAAAATAAAAGAGGTCATCCCCATAGGGCCAATTGGCCATTATCCATTATTGATACCCCACGTAGTGTATAGGAATAAAATCCGCAATGAAATCGAGGACAAACAAGAAACAGCAGTATATACAGTATAGCCAGCCAACGGTACAAAAAAATTAATATAATTAAATAAAAAAATCAATAGATCGGAAAGCTAAAGCTCCTATCACATGCGACAAAAGGCCGTTGATATCAAGAAAAACCGGGTCAAAGAGACTCAAATCAGACCATTGCATTCATCAAAAGCAAAGGATGTTTAAATCAAGCGGCAGTTAAAGAAACATAGTCTGTGAAAATGTATGGAGAGGAGAGCAGTAGAAAAAAGATTGAAACGTCAAATCAGAAAGTAAGAATGGCAGGGGGGCTTCAGAAAAGCTTTTAAATAAAATAAATAAAAGGACCCAAAGACGAGGACAAAGTGAAATATGGATATGCTGGTTTTGATTTATGGGAATTATTTTACACTCACCATCACATGGCCTTAAAGTTGGTTGGGGTTAAATTAAAATCATTCTACCCACTACTGCTACCCCCACATCAAAAAATGATTCTTATGATTTTCCAAAGAGTAATACTATATTTTTTAACTGAAACCTGAATTTTGTTTTTTTCAAGAATAATACTATATTTTTAATTCCAAATAATAGTGATCTTATATAAAGTTAACATATCAATAACTACATCAATTTTAAAAATGAAAATTTTGAGATTTTATTTAAAAAGTATAATATTAGCATTTTGGAAACCTCAAGCGAAACAGTGATTTTTGCAAACTGTTAAACACCTTAACAATATTTTTAATTTTTATATTTATTAAAGGGGCTTTTTAGTAATTTTAAGGGATATTTATGATTTTGGAAAATTCTTGGGAGAGGGATGAAATTAACTTTTTCTTTTATATGGTAAAATTATCATAAGACCCAAATTTATATTTTAAGTTTACATAAAATCATCATCAGACATCAATGGAAAAACTTGAAATAACTTTTGAGACTGCAGAAGAATGGAAATAGAAATGAAAAAATCTATAAATATAAACAAACACTATAAAGCCACATAAAATTTGATTGATTTATTCTAGATACAAAAATTATAATACAAACTTGGAAAAAATAACATTATAGTTATTGCAGATTTCTTGACTACATATATATAGCCATTGGAGAAGAAGTATTAAAGAATTTGAAACTAGTTTGGACGATAATTCTATTCACGTACTAAACGCAAATCTAGACTTTACCATGTATTAGCTATTAAATATTTTGTTTATTGATTTAACAAATAAACAAAGCAATGTTGAAACGAATCCAAATTTACCTTTGGCAAGTTGGGCTTGCTTTTACCTATCTCAAAGTTTCACGGGTAAATCAATCTTAAAACTAAAAGACAAAAACAAAGTGAACCCTTATATAGTTATATTATAACTATAATTAACAAATTCATTAAACTAATCATACTTTGTTTGATCTAACAATGGAAACCATGTGGGCCACCGACCGTCCCATTTTTAGCACATTTTTCAGATCCACCACCCATGGAGACAACCTTTCTCTTCCACATTATTTTATGCCTCTTTCAAGATTTCTTTGACCCCATTCTTGACCCCCCCAATTATACAAATTTTATTTCACTTATAATTACAATAGAAATATATAATAAAATTAAACCCAAATTCAGAAAACAAAAATAGAAATAAAAAAGAGTTGCTGGCGGGTCTGATAAAATGTTTGAATAATGGCATCATTTCCAAAATTCCCTAGTAAACAAACAAATCTGAAAGAAATAAAATAGTAAGAAAAAAAACCTCCATTGAAAGAGACAAATTAGATAAACTCAATATGTTACCCCATCAACATCAAACAGAAAAATAGAAATCTCTGCAGAGGCGCGTGAACAACACATCAAAAAGAGCAGCAAAAAACAGAGATTCCATATCTTTCAGCTCATCAAACCCAAGTGAGAATTAACAAAACGAAACCTACTTCAACATATTCATTCAAAATTAGGGATGAATTCAACAAAAACATAAACAAAAGGATCAGCATTATATATACATCTACTATTTTTGTTAAATAAAAAACAAAAACAAGAAAAACAAAAGCAAATTAACCCCCATTAAACAATGTCATGTGGTATTGTTTGCTTCTAAAATTAAACAAAAACACATAACAGAATCATGAATTTCCCGAAATTAAAAAAAAAAAAAAAACGGAAATAATTTGTTACCCTCTTCTTCATTCTTTCTAAAGATTCGGTCAAGTTCGGTCAGTCCGGCTCCTACTGTTATTCTGTTGTCGAACTCCGTTTCCGTTTCCATTTCCGTTTCCGCTCTTTTGCTGCGAAGAAAATAACTGACCGAATCCGAACACTGAACCGGATTTCGAAGACCCTCTAAGCGAACAAACCGGAACGTTTAGAACCGGAGTGATTCTTACATTAGCCGAGTAAGATCTCTCCATGCCTCGGTGCTTGAATCTCGGCCCGCCATTGAAGCTACTGGGACTACTCGAGCTTCTCTCCAAGCTCTGAAACACTATTTTCCCGGAAGAATTTAATCTCGGACTGTCGACGGAGACTCCCCTACTAGTCGCGGCCGCGGTTTCTCTCCTCATTGGACTCCGTCCGGCACGTGAGACGTGTGTTGTATTTGTATTGTGCGGTTGATTATGATTATCTCTGTGTTTCACGATCCTCATTCTTGGAGGATTGGCAAACGGGTTCGGACTCGGGCTCAAACCGGGTTTATCCGAGTCGAGGGAGAGTCTTGGGAGATCCTCGTGCTCGTGACCCGACGAAGAAGAAGAAAGCGACAAACGAGACGAAGACAGCGAAACCGTTTCGCTATCGGACAAGTCTTTTAGTAAAGGAAGACTCAGAGATGACTCCAAAGAAGACGAACCAGAAGAGGAGGAGGACGAAGATTTGGAGTTTCGATGAAGGAAATGTTTTATTGAAGATTTTGGAGGTGGATTAGATGGCGTCGTTTTGGAGTGATTTTCAGATTTTGAGTTTTGGTACAGTTTTTTCAAACCTAATAACTCCTTCCATCGGCTCGAACACCTTGGAGCTTTTGGTGAGAACAAGTAAGGGTCCATGCACGGCTTCGTAGACTCGTCGGTTGACCTGGTGGTGGCTAACGATGGTTTGAGGGCAGAGAGGTGGAGCGGCACGAGCTTTCCGTCGGAGAAGAGCTCGTCGGCGGGGAGCATCGTCACCGGATCTTCTAACCGGAACTCGAAATCAACCGGATCTTGAATATCCTCCTCGTCCTCCGCCATCAAGGACGGTTTCTTCGAAGACGACGACGGCTGTTCTTCATCCCGACTAAAGGACATCCTCGAACTCCGGCCTGGACTCAGCCATCCATACGAAGGGAAGCTCTCCGGCGACACGCTGATGTTGTTATTGACGCAGGCAGAGGCCATGACAGCTGGCACTGGCGGTCATGCAAAGAAGTAAAGAAACGTCGGAGATCGGAGAGGCGCCGCCGGAAAGTGATCGACGGGATCTAGAGAGAGAAAGGGAAGGGGGTTTAATTGAGTTAGGGTTGGAATGAATGAATGAATGAAGAGTGAAGTTACTTCAAGTCCAAAGTGTGTGACACTAATGGCGACACAGTCAACAGTGGATTTATACTTGGGATGGCAATTATGTAATTATAGTAATCAAGCAGGGCCACGTGGCTGTCCCCAATTTTTTTTTTAATTTGACGAAAATAATAATAATAATATTATAGGATAATTGCTGCCAGATGAGATTCAGCTAATCATTCATTTGTTTTTATTTTTTTGTATAGATATTGTGAATTATTATTGTAAAATTAAATATTTACATCAATTATTTGATAACTGCTCCACTCGAAAAAAATATATAACATAACAAGTTGAAAAAAATAAAATAATTAAAAGGAATTCTTTTTATAAGAGTTAAATAATTTTTAAAAATAACTAATTAATTGGGAAGGTATTGAGGTTATGGTAAGGTCAAGTTGGTCAACAAAATTAATTTAGGTACATTCGTGGGATGTTAGTTATATCAAATTATTGTAAACAAAGAGGATTGACGAAATAATTTTTAAAATATTTATTTTTTAAAATTTTAATTATACTTTGTATAAACGTTTGTTCAAAATTTTGCATGCACAATACAAGTTCTTGGGTTTAAAGATATATTTTAAAATATAAATACGATGCACTTAATAATGAGATTGTTATACATTATAGAGTAATACTAGCCTTACAAAGAGGCATATAAAGAGTCATACAAAGAGTCAAATTCAGTCTTTGAAAGAAGTGAAAAAGAGAGAAAGAAAGAAGCAATAATGAATTTCAAGAGTTGGATTTGACTCTTTGTATGCCTCTTTGTAATACTAGTATTACTCTTCATTATATGGTGTTAAACTTATTTTTGTTTATTTGGTTCATATGTTAGAATTTTTTTTTGTTCAAATGCTAAAGTGACACTATGTAGGGTTTTAAAAATCTTCGAGTGAGGAAATCATCGGATGTGCATATATTCAACTAATAGAGAAATATTCATATGTTTCTTTATAAAATATTTTTCTCTCGAGGAAGAACCGTTGTTACATAAAATCAGGGAGTTACAATTTAACCTTGAGGGATTGACCTAGTGATCAAGAATGATTATTCTCTTTATTAACCTCCTATATTCAAATCACCTTCGGGTCACCTATTGTATTAGTGGCTTATCTAGAAACATTGGACTTGCAGGATATTTAATAAATCTTGTGGATTACTTGAGATATACGCAAACTGGCCCAAACATCTTGGTTATAAAAAAAAAAAAAAAGTTAAAATTCGGCAAATTATGGAGCTAATGTGAAAATGTAATTGCAAGATTGGAAAGTAAAACCAAAGTATAAAACACCTTTTGATGGAGTTTGAATGACTTGGTTGAATCTATTTTGTGTCACAAACCAATGGCCCAAAGAAAATATAAAGTGTTATTGAATGAATGAATGTTGGCCCAAAAAATAATATGTCATGCTCGTGACATAGAAAGAGATGGGGAAAGTAAATCAAATACTATTTGACTTTTTGGGTATCATTTAATTAAACTAATCAATCACTTTATTTATTTTTTTCCAAGAAAGAAGCACATACAAAGTTGAAATAAGGATTACCAACAAAATCTCTCACTTTGAAATGACACTTCTCTTTCATTTTCATATGATTAATTCATGATAAGTGTAGAGGAGGATTTAAATATAATTAATAGGGAACAATCTGGGGGGTGAACTAAGTAAAGTTGAGCTTTATTTAAATAAAGCCCAATGAAAAAACGTACATAGGTTAATAATTCCTCGAAATATTTAATGAGAAATTCTCATATATATAAATTGTTAACCGATTACTCTCCTTTATCTCGGATGTAAAAATTTCGTGACATTCACATATGAGAATTTTCATTTATATTATAAATATTTCATTTTTTATTTTTTGTCATATTCAATACGAAGATTCTCGTGGGCATAAAAATTCAACAAAGGTGGTTATTTGATAACAGAAAGTTTTATGAAAAAAACTTTACACATCAGAAAGTCCAAAAATAACACTATTAAAAAGCTGTATTAGAAAGTGAGTGGTGCATGCATTTCTTCAATTTTGACACTTCTTGATAAGAAGAAATCCTTTTGCTTCACTTGATTTGTCTATTTCATAAAGTGAAAATTAAAAAATATATATAATGATAAGATCAAGAAAATAATTTATATGCATTTATATTATGACCATACATATTCAATTATTGATTAAAGATAAGCATATTATACGTGCAAGAAATGTAACCTATGTTTCCACATTCCAAAGTTTTTTTATTATAAGCTTGTATGTATCGGGATGTAAAAGAAAATCCGTTGAAACAAAGAACGAAACAAAATTTTGGAAGTAAATATTATGAAAAGACAAGTTTACCCCTTTACTTCTTATTTTAACATAATTATAAACTCTGGGGTTGTTTTTGCTGATTTTGGAAACTGGGGGATTTCAAGGTATTTATGAATACCTAGGGGGTGTTGATTTGTTAGCCCTATATTAAAATGCCATCGGCTGTATTGTATGACATTTAAAATATAACGGAGAGGTAAAGAAAGCCAAGGACTCCATGGCCAAAAAATTTATAAACCAAAAAATATAAAGCAAGTTTAAAAACTTTGCTTGGATTGCATTGAGATTTCATAATATTAATTCATGAAAATATTATACCAAATTTGATATTGTTATTATCGGTTTATATGTTTGAAATATTTTGGTTTTACGAATATTGTTGATAAGTATATGGTTAATTTATGGTTGAGCATGGGTAGAATCGGAACCGAAACTGAAACCTACTCAGAATCGGTATTGTACGGGTAGGTTCCGGTTCTATTTTATTGGAACTGATACTGTGCGGTTTCGGTTCCAGTTCTTATGTGTGGAGGAACCGGAATCGAAACCGAAACCTGTAAAAAAAACCTGAAACAGATATCCGGTTTGGAATCTGCTTGAACCTGTAGCGGGTACTCGGTTTAGAACATGTTTAGAACCGATTTTTGGAACCTGGGCTGCAATGAAATATTTGTGAATAATGGGGGGTTTCATTATTTTACATATAAAAAATTTAAAATAGAAAAAGTTAAATTTTTAGAATAACATAATTAAATAAATATACAATTATATTTATTACATATAAACTACACCATATTAAAAACTTTAATATATTATAATATATTAATATTAAAGTTTTGATTAATTAAGTGTATAATTGGAATTATGATCCAATAAAAAGTATTTTAATGTTATTAAAAGAATTATTTTTGAATAAAATAGTATATTTGATTGAACAATAATATATTTAGTTATTTACTTCAATTATAAAGTTCTAAGTATATCTATAGTAAATTAGCAATTAATGAATTATATATGATAAATTAATAAACATTAATAAATTTAATTACTAGTTAAATAACATACTTGATCAATTATAATATTACATTATAGTTAAATGATTACTTAATTAATTATAATTTTATAACATTACTTAATTGATTTATAATATAATTAATTTCCGCATTACATTAATTGATTACTATTTAATTAATTGACTTATAACATTTAGTAAATGACTTAATTAAATAATTAGAAATTTAATTAATTATAACATTACATTATAGATTTATAGTATAATTACTTAATCAATTATAACATTTCATTATAAACATTAGTACCATACTTAATTAAATAATTAAAAATTTAATTAATTATAATATTACATTAAAGATTTATAGTATGATTATTTAATTCACTATAATATTACATTATATCACATAATTAATTATAACATTACATAATTAGATGATTACTTAATTGATTATGATATTATATTATAAACATTAGTAATTATTAATTTACTACATAAACATTAACATAATATTTAATTAAATGATTAGAAATTTAATTAATTATAATATTACATTATAAATTTATAGTACGATTACTTAATTAATTGTAACATTACATTATAATTAAATGATTATTTAATTAATTATAAAATTCTATTATAAACAAATTAATTATAATATTATATTAAAGATTTATAATATGATTACTTAATTTATTATAACATTTCATTATAGTATGATTACATAATTAATTATAACATTACATAATTAGATGATTATTTAATTGATTATGACATTATATTATAAACATTAATTATAACATTACATTATAAATAAATGATTACTTAATTAAATGATTAGAAATTTAATTAATTAAATATTACATTATAGTTAAATAATTACTTAATTAAATTATAACATTATTACATTACATTATATTATGATCACTTAATTAATTATAGTATTACATAGTTAAATGATTACTTAATTAGTTATAAATTTATAACATTACATTATAAACATTAGTAATTTACTACATTATTATTTATTACATTACTTAATTAAATGATTAAAAATTTAATTAATTATAACATTACATTATAGATTTATTGTATGATTACTTAATCATTATAACATTCCATTATAAACATTAATATATTAATTAAACGATTATAAATTTAATTAATTACAATATTAAATTATAAATTTATAGTGTGATTACTTAATTCATTATAACATTATATTATAGTATCATCACATAATTAATTATAACATTACATAATTAAATGATTACTTAATTAATTATGACATTATATTATAAACATTAGTAATTTACTACATAAACATTAGCATAATACTTAATTAAATGATTAGAAATTTAATTAATTATAACATATTAACATTACATTATAAATTTATAATACGATTACTTAATTAATTGTAACATTACATTATAAACAAATGATTACTTAATTAAATTATTATGTAGTTAATTATAACATTATTACATTCCATTATATTATGATCACTTAATTAATTATAGTATTACATAGTTAAATGCTTACTTAATTAGTTATAAATTTATTACATTATATTATAAACATTAGCAATTTACTACATTATTATATTATTTAATTAAATGATTAAAAATTTAATTAATTATAACATTACATTATAAATTTATAGTATGAT